TTAAATATATCATGAGGCAGACCCTAACTTGGAATCCTGAAGGGAAACGGAAAATAGGAAGGTCAAAAAACATATTACATTGAGAAATAGAAGCAGATATGAAAAGGATGAATAACAACTGGAAAGAACTGCCCAGGACAGAGTTGGATGAAGAGTGGTGGTGGGCGGCCTATTCCCCTCCACGAGGAGTAACAGGCATAAGTACACTTCTTGCCATGAAGCTATATCAGCTATTATAAGATATGCTCAGTAATATACGCAAAAGTAGACAGATATTTGTCAAATATTGTCACTTTTAACTGCATAAAACAATTTACGTCCATGTGTAAGAGCGGATACATTAAAAGAACAAAAAATTAGATTATCTACACATTGAACTGAATATTAAAACAGTATAATTAGTCCAACTTAGGTCAATAAATTCAACAAGTAATACGAAATAGATATACTTGGAAAAACCAATAAATACTAGAATATTATACTACTGAAATCTATGCAGATTATAACATTTTGAAGGGATTCGATAGGTCCTGGGTTCGAATCTCGTGGGGGGCGGGATCGTGGATGCTCACTGCTGAGGAGTCCCACACTAGGACGAAACGGCCGTACAGTGCTTCCAGGCTTTCGATGGTGGTCTAGCTTCAATTGACTCATGATCTCAACTGTTTAAATTATTTATTCGTGTCAAAATTCCACTGATAGCTACACTATCAGACCCCGTGAATTTGTCAAAGTAGTCTTTGGACTCACATACCTCTATCTTGTCGAATTAGGCACTAACATAAATTAAACACAGTGGGATACATCTTTTTTATGAAAAAAAGGAATTCTATGTCTGATAGCTACAAAAATATAAACCTTACTGGATGGTGAAAGGAATATAATTACCAACGCCTAAATTATGAGATACCTATACTGATATTATCTTACATTTGTATTTAAGTATTAATCAAACAGATATTTACTGGGAATTGTCGCACACATGAAAAAGACTACATTGTGAGACATGTATAAATAACTGATAAATTAAAAAGTATAATACAACCACTTTGTCTGAAAATTTAACAAGGAAACAATGTCAGATGGGTTCTGTAGATATTATAGTAATTTCAATGGTTAAGATCATGAGTCAGTTGAAGCTAGACCACCATGGAAAACGTGGAAGCAATGGACGGCCGTTTCGTCCTATTGTGGTAATAATGCCTAAAAAATTAAGGTCTAAATTTAAGTGTGACAAACACATGGCTTGTTGAAATGAACTAATGATTAAGTGAATTTGAGAGAGTCATTGTTACAGTGAAATATATTCGCGTTCTTTTGAATTAAGTATCACAACATGACTAGATGCTTTAAAGAAATATATAGTTAGTCTTACGACAATATTTCACACAAATGTTTGGGATTACTGAAACGATTTATCTGAAAAATTGACGGAATTCACATCTTCACCGGGATCGTATTTCATATATTTCGCCGAATATATAGCTTTATTCATAATCAGCCATTTGTACAACTGACCAACATATGATAAGTGACGTGGCACAAATGATTGGCTATTTGGACTCAGTGGCTAAGTGGATGATGTGATGGGGTTCGAAACAAACGATACTGGGTTCAAGTCCCGAGGTGAACATCAACTCAGGGATGTAAATACATCCAGCTGACGAGTCTAAATTAAGGAGAAATGAGTATCCTGGATGCCACTACTAGCCATATTCTACCTATTCTATATCAAATGATGTCATAATTTTTGTTTTTAATAAATTCATAGTCAAAAAGTCCTGAATTGTATTCAGAGATTACACCAAAATATTCTACATATTTATAAACTGTTACTCTTTTGAAAATTTTACAGCAGATAATCAAGAGGATAATATAATCGTAAATGTATCTAACAGCTGTGTAGTACGTTTCATATATTTATTCAAGTAGTTTTTTATTTAATGAAATAGCAGATGTATTTTTTTGAAGACAAATATATCAATTTGTTAACGTATTAGGGTCTGCATAAAACAATGTTTTTCTTATATATCTCTTAGATGTTTTTAAAGGTACAGTTCTAAATTCATCTCATGGTCTGAAAAGTTACTAAAAATAAAGTTATAAAATGTTTTAGTTATGAACTTATCAATTTCAGTAGGTCAGGTATTATTAACAGAATAGCCTTATAGTACTCAATGTAAAGTTAATTCACGATAAGTAGATTGGTTTTTGTTTAGGTCAAGGATGTATTTATCACATTTTCACACTCTACCAATTGTTCGAACACCGTTATACTTATTGCAGTCCAAAAATTGTAGTGTTTCTTGACATTAAGGCAGCCTCCATTTCGTAGTACTTCCTGTTGAAGAAGAGTGAATCTGAGATGTTTATTCGAATCTTGAAAGTCCTACATACAAACAATTTAGACAAACCGAGGACATACAACCATCTATCTCCATCATTTAATTGAAGCAGTGGGGTTAGGCAGAATTGCCCAATCTCAAACTTCCTGCTTAACATTTCTATCGATGACGTTCTGGAAACAGATCTGATGGATGTACGTAGTAGTGGTGTGAATCTATTGCACAAAGAAATACTTTTCTACCTTGAGTATGCAGATAATGTTGTCTTACTGTGCGATGATGCTCAAGCCATCCAATCCGCGCTTAATCAGTTGGCAATCAGTGTCCGTAGGTATGGTACGTGCTTTGCACCTTCGAAGTGCAAAGTACTTTTACAAGACTGGCAGGACCTAGGACCTGCATTCACTCTTGATAGTGAGCAGTTAGAAGCAGTCGAGAGGTTCATTTATCTGAGTAGCCCTGCAGGTGCTGGTGGCGGAATGAGTGATGAGATCAATTCATGTATAATAAAAACCAGAGAGGTTTATGCCAATCTGGGGCATCTTTGGCACCTTCGTGATGTAAGTCTAGCTGTTAAGGACCGGATCTATGATGCGTTGATGAGAACAATTTTGCTTTACGTTTGTAAAACCTGGCCTCTCCGAGTTGACTATGGACATCCAATACCAACACCATGATGGTAATGCAGAGGGTCAGCAACGTATGTTCAGGCACAGTGACGACTATTTAGTTGATGTTAATATCTTGAAACACTGACTTTGGTGGCTTGGAAATGTACTATGAATATCGTCCAAGCTGATTCCATATCGTGCATTGTTTTCCAACGGTGGGAATTGGCTGGGAAAAGCAGAGCGGTGGCCAGTGTACGACATGGTTTCGTAGTATGAGAAAAAGCCGTACGGGACTGGCTTTTGTTAGTCCTTCAAAAATCCCTGGTTGGGGTTCTAGAGATGGTGTCATATTGCTTTGAAGGTTTACCAAACATGAATCAGTATAGAAACCAGTGGCGATTCTGTTGTAATTTTCTTATACTTTCTTCACAAAAGTGAGAGTAACTTCTTTAACTGAAAGAACCCTTTATGGTTGTATTATTTCTGATTGATCTTATGCAATTATAATAATTATTATTAGTTTACTTTTATTTCACTCTCATTTACCAATTCATATTCATATTTGTCCTTTTGCAATAAAACTCACCTTACGTTCTCTCTCACTTCACAATCCCATTTTTGTTATGTGGCGCATATATATATATATATATATATATATATATATATATATATATATATATATATATATATATATATATATATATATATATATATATATATATATATATGCCTGCTTGTCTCTATTTTTGTGTTCAAACTAATAAACAATCTCATCGGTTACGCCAACACCAAAATTCACAAAAATACGCAGATATACAAACTTTTCGGCTATTCCTAACGGCTAACAGAAAAGCAAACCGAAGAAAAGCTGGATTTAACGTCTGCATCCGATCCTACTTTTTCATCGATGAGGCTGACCAGGTACGTGAAAGATTCCGCCTTCTTCAGAGTTACACCATCAAGTGTGATTGGGTTGGTGTTCTCCGTGTGGAAGTTGGGGATTTTAGCTTTTCCCTTGTGTATGTCCAAGCCTACTTTGGAAGAGGCTTCTGATACACTAGTTGTCTTCATCTACATTTTTTGCGTGTATATGGGGTAGAAGGGCAAGGTTATCTGCGAAGTCCAAATCTTCTATTCGATTGCGAGCTATTCATTGTATTCCGTGCCTTCCCTCAGATATCGAGGTCTTTACAATCCAGTCAACCACCAAAAGAAAGAGGAAGAGTGAGAGTAGGCAGCCTTGACTGACTCCGGTCCTTAATTTGAATGTATCTGTCAGTTGTCCTCTATGCAATACCTTGCAGCGTAGTCTCTCGTATGAAATCCAAATGATGTTGACAATTTTCCCAGGTACACTATAATGTCGAAGAAAATTCCATAAGGATCTCTTATCCATGCTGTCAAACGCTTCCTCCTAGTCAAGTAGTTTGATGTATAGTGACGAATTCTATCCAACCGATTGCTTAACAATGATCCGTGTCGCAATTCGATCTGTACACGATTAAACTCTACGGAATCGAACCTGTCGTTCTAGAAGTTGGGCGTCCACAGAACCTTTCATTCGGTTCAACAACATATCGTTGAAAAACCTTCCCGGCACCGATAATAGTGATGGCAGTCTAGTTCTAACACAAAAAAATGGTAACAGTTGCATAGCTTATACAATCCTAACGACTTACACACAAATGTTATGTCTTGAAATCTAAAAGCTGTGCTAGATCATACTCTAAGTTCATCATTATTAGGAAAACTTGGTTTAACTGCCCTGATTATCAGCAGAGATGGAGAGTTGTGGCAAATGAACCTCACGTGTGAAACAATTTTACTACTATCATGCTGCTTTTTTACTTTTTCCTGCACAATATTGTGCAGTAATTAATGATCTAAAGCACAGTGTAAGTCCAAACAACAAAACACCTATTATCAACCAATTGATTTAATATAGTGACTATCACGCTGAATTAAGAACGTATTAAGTACTTAGAAGACGACTAGTCATATAACTTATGGAAATGTAATAGAAATATATCCACGAAAAACTTACATTCCATAGCTTCGAAAACTCTTCTTGTGTTCACTAGAACACTTTTGACTTTCTTGTTTGCGATTTTCAAGTCTGCCTCATGGTCTGACAAAGCCTTTCGGAAATTCGGGCTGTCCACAACACAATCACGAAACTCGAGAGGGCTCAACACGGGCATTGCACATTAATGCACACGACCTACGAACCGTAAAAGTGCAAGGTCATACAACTACAAAACTGCATAATTCAAACTGTCTGGACACCGGCATTATCTAGTCAGTTCCTTAGGGTCTGTACCTGAAGGATTGTTATGAAATACTGATTAAGAAGAGAATTTTGGAGAATTATAACTGGCAGTGCTATGACCGTTTTCTTTTATGTATTAATGTAACTCCGCATGGAATCCCTCCGGGGGCTACTGCCCGTCCCAAGCCCGGATAACGGAGCAGGGTTTGGCATGAGGTTAGCGACCCCATCCCATAGAAAATTAACTCGCTAAAAAACGCTAACCAGAAAAAAAAATTGCCCTGGAAGTCAGAAGGTCTTCTGTTAGAAGAGTTATGAAGCCTCATAATGAAAGCCGAGTTCCTTCGGAAGTCACGAGGCTGATTCCCCTTCTGACAACCAGAGCGACCATTTATTTAGGTACACGGAATGTTCGTACAATGTGGGACACCTGAAGAGTCTTCCAAATCGCTGCAAAAATGAGGAGATACAACCTAGAGGCGCTTGGGATCAGTGAAACACATTGGACGCAAGTTAGACAACAAAGACTAGCTTCATGGGAGCTTCTGTTATACTCCGGTCTTGAAGAAAAAGACGCTCCACATACGCAAGGAGTTGCATTGATGCTGTCCAAACAAGAACAAAAGGCACTCATAGGATGGGAATCTCATGGACCAAGGATCATCAAAGCCTCCTTCAAAACAATGAAAAAGGGCATTTCAATGAATATCATCCAATGCTATGCGCCTACCAACGACTCCAGCGAAGACGCTAAAGATCAGTTCTACGACAGACTGCAGTCAATCGTCGAGAAGTGCCCAGCAAAAAGCCTGACAATTCTGATGGGAGATTTCAATGCCAAGGTCGGAATGGACAACAATGGATATGAAGACATCATGGGACGACACGGACTGGGACAAAGGAACGAAAATGGTGAGAGATTTGCAAACCAATGTGACTTCAATAAACTGGTCATAGGCCAAACAATATTCCCGCATAAGCGTATTCACAAAACCACATGGACTTCACCGGATCACACTACGCAAAACCAAATCGACCATATCTGTATCAACAAAACGTTCAGGACGATGGAAGACGTGCGAACCATGAGAGGATGTTACATAGCATCAGATCATCACTTGCTAGTCGGCAAGATGAAATTGAAACTCAAGAAGCACTGGACAATGGGGTGGACTATATTACAAAAGTTCAATACGGCTTTTCTTCAGGATACTGAAAAACTCAACGAATTCATGATAGTTCTCAGCAATAAGTCCCAGGCCTTTCACGATCTACTAACTGAAGAAGGAACTACTATGGAGAGCAACTAGAAGGTAATCAAAGAGGCAATCACTTCAACATGTCATGAGGTCCTGGGTCACAAGAAGCACGATCAAAAAGAATGGATCACTGGTGATACTGGATAAGATTCAAGAAAGGAGGAACAAGAGAGCAGCAATCAATACCAGTCGAACAAGAGCAGAAAAAGCCAAGGCACAAGCTGAATACACAGAAGTAAACGAGCAAGTGAAGAAGAGCATCAGAACCGACAAACGTAAATATGTGGAAGATCTAGCAAAGACGGCGGAAAAGGCTGCAAGAGAAGGGAACATGAGAAAACCGTATGACATAACAAAGAAACTCTCTGGAAATCGCCGCAAACCAGAAAGATGTAATCACCAACATTGAAGAGCAACAAAACAGGTGGGTAGAACACTTCAAAGAACTCTTGAATCGACCAGCTCCAGTGAACCCACCCAACATCAAAGCAACACCCATTCACCTCTCAATCAATGTTGGCCCACCAACAATTGAAGAAATCAGCATGACCATCAGACAAATCAAGAGTGGCAAAGCAGCAGGACCAGACAACATTCCAGCAGCGGTACTGAAAGCAGACGTAGCGGTAACTGCAAGGATACTCCGCATTCTCCTCAATAAGATTTGGGATGAGGAACAAGCATTTGACTGCGTGGACAGAACAACACTATGGAAGCTTCTTCGAAACTACTGCGTGCCTCAGAAGACAGTCAATATCATACAGAGTTCATATGATGGATTACACTGCAAAATCGTGCATGGAGGACAGTTGACAAAGTCGTTCGAAGTGAAGACCGGTGTTAAGCAAGGTTGCTTGCTATCACCCTTTCTCTTTCTCTTGGTGATTGACTGGATCATGAAGACGTCATCATCTGAAGGGAAACACGGGATAAAGTGGACATCTAGGATGCAGCTGAACGATCTAGACTTTGCAGATGATCTGGCCCTTCTATTTCAAACGCGACAACAAATGGAGGTGAAGACGAACAGTGTAGCAGCAGCCTTAGCAGCAATAGGTCTCAATATACACAAAGGGAAAAGCAGGATTCTCCGATACAACACAGCATGCATCAATCCAATCACAATAGACGGAGAAGATTCGGAAGATGTAAAAGCCTTCACATATTTGGGTAGCATCATTGATGAACACAGTGGATCTGATGCAGATGTGAAATGCACGGATCGGCGAATCAAGAGCAGCGTATTTACAACTGAGGAACATCTGGAACTCAAAGCAACTGTCAACCAACACCAAGGTCAGGATTTTCAGTACAAATGTCAAGACAGTTCTACTTTATGTGGCGGAAACCTGGAGAACTATGAAAGCCATCATCCAGAAGATACAGGTGTTTATTAACAATTGTCTACGCACAATACTTCAAATCCTTTGGCCGGACACTATTAGCAACAACGTACTGTGGGAGAGAACAAACCAGATCCCAGCAGAGGAAGAAATCAGGAAGAAGCGCTGGAGATGGATAGGACACACACCGAAGAAAGCACTCAACTGCGTGACAAGACAAGCCCTCACATGGAATCCTCAAGGCCAAAGGAGAAGAGGAAGACCAAAGAACACATTACGCCGGGAAATGGAAATAGACATGAAAAAGATGAACAAGAATGGGATGGAATTAGAAAAGGAGGCTCAGGACAGAGTGGGTTGGAGAATGCTGGTCGGCGGCCTACGCTACATTGAAAGTAACAGGCGTAAGTATGTATGTACTAATGTGGACTTTAAAACTGTCTAATCTGAAGGTGATCAATTTTGATTTTATTCATAGAATTAGTGGAAGGTGATAGATATCCTTATTCCTATGGTTGAAATGCGTTTTAATCATCTGTTTGTGTGCAATATCTAGTGTCTTCATTCCGCTTATTGCGCGAGTACTCTTTATAAGTACATGGTTTCCTATGAGGAAATCATTTAAAGCTCTGACTTCTGCATAGGAACTTGTTTCAGTCAGTGATAACTGCTAACTTCGGTCGCGGTCGTTCAAGTTTATTCACATGGACACTGACAGAAAAGAAAGTCAATGTAATCTAGGTATTAAATCGGTTTACGGAAATAATCAGTGTCGTTTGTCATGGACCGTGTGTAGGTTGAGATTGCTCCAGTACGAACCACTCATAGAGAAGCCAATATAATCCTTTGCAGTTTTCTCATTTACCTTGCTTTTGACAAAAGGGTGAATGAATGTGGACCAATAACATAGTACTTGGACCATTTATTGTATTTGAAGGGCTTATCGTTGTTTCGTGCTCCTCCACGAGGAGTAACAGGCGTAAGTACGTAAGTAAAGACGTGATCTGTTGGACAGTAATGCTTATAATGCAGTTATTTTTAAATTTGATCATTCTTTAGAATCGTCAGACAGAGAAATCAAGGATTAATTATTTATCTGATTCGGACATCTGTCAATAGAAAGGTTAATCGGCTGCCCATTTTATTAATCAGTTACTAACTGTGGGCAGCAACCTGAATCATTGTGTTGAGTCATTGAATCTTCAACTTAAAAAAACACGTGCAGTAAAGTGATTGCCTGCTCAAATGCATGTGGAATGTGGAATGTAATGTCAGAACATCAAGAAATCGTCTACCAAGACAACCTATAACATGCTAACTCGGACGTTTGCACTAGGACTGTGTGGCTGTTGTCGGGTGAAAAAAATCAGACAAAAAGTAAAGTTACTAGTTTTTTCAACGCTTTACACTATATATGCACATTTCGTCCTAATAAAAAGCCTACCTTATTCCACACTTGACTTCCCTTCTTTCATTTAAACTTACTCCACCGTGGTAAAGATCACAAATCATTGTTCTTTCTAACTGCATTATCTCATCTGGAGCGTCTAACCACGTTTCACACTTGCAACAAGAGCCAGCATGAATTTAACCTACTAATTTATCATACCTTTGTCGTTTCCACTACAAAATGTTAAGCATTTTTCATATCCGAGTGCTTTGCTGCTCCTTTGTTAAGCTTCTTCCAGAACCTTGCTCTGAGGGCACAGCTATGGAACTTCTGACATCTGTGACAAACTTGACGTGCGCGTTTTCTCAGGTTCATAGTCCACACAAAGTGCTCTACCTTATAAGAACTATAAACTCATAAAGTTGTATTGCATAAATACTTAGCACGACCGGAATTCCAACACAATAATGCGGAAATTGGATCTCGTGTGTAACGTGGATGCGATGCCACTTCGTAAATATTTTGAAAACTGTACTCAGTGTAATGCTATAGTAAAAGCCTAATCATTCACGTTTCAAGACATTTGCACGATTTTACTGTTATTCACTTTTATTGATTACATCTAATTAACGGCCTTACTTGGAAAGCATACTGTGGGTCAACAAATGTTGTAATTTGTGGATCGTGCCCGTAAAAATGGCGTGTATCTCCCCTTGCAGAAATATACTATTATTATTATTTTTTGGACAGTCTGTACGTGATTCATTCAGAATAGATAGAATAACAATTTTGTTGTTGCGCTTAGTCATTCTCTTACATCCCTTACCAACTCGTCTACTTAAAATATTTTAGATTTTAATGCTGATTACAATTCATTAAATATGTGTAACATAAATGCGGTTGAGCATATCGTGTCAAAAATAAGGAAAATGCGGTCCTTACCTTCTTCGTAATAAAAGTTCTTGCCGTTTGCCGACATGATCAAATTGTTA